GAAGGTGGAGGGTTTCAGAGAACTCTGAAAGCGCACTGCAGGAATCTCAAGTGAATGCTAGCCAGCCATATAAATGCAAGGCAGTAAGCTCATTGGCTGCATATGCAGCATGAACCAATCAGCTCGTGCCATGTCGTTTAACTCTCTGAATATCATCAGTTACGTTAACACCCCGTCAGAATGCGCCATCTAGAGTGTCATGACTGAACTATATATTTATTAAACATTATACATAAGACTAGTATGATAAAATGATTTAAAACCCCTTAGAATGCCTTGCCCTGTAGAAGTCTATTGAAAGTGCACTCTATGCCATTTTTGTGTGTATTTACAAATTGAGTCAAAATAATGGACAGCTGATGCAGGTTATATTTTCTGGTCTTTCAAACATTGCCAATTTTGAATTATTGCAATGTTTTAAGCACTGGAAATTGATCAAATGATGATTGAAGACAATATTTCAACAGCAGTTAATCGAATTTTAATACATTATACTTGTGATCAAGGTGTCGTACAACAGAGAAGTAAAAAATATATCACTGTGAAAGTCATTACAAACAAAAAATATCCAATTTTGCATAGATCAAAAATTACATTTACATAAAATATAGATAGGCCATGACAAAAGGCAGCTCCTCAAAAATGTACTTGCCTTTGTATTGTAAAGAGAAACAAATGTGTTAGACAAACAGCAGGCATTTTGGGAAAACAAATGTGTGTAGAGTTATGTATTTATGTGTGTATGCATATTTCAGCATACTCAACATACAGTGGGGAAAATATTTATTTGATCCCCTGCTGATTTTGTAAGTTTGCCCACTTACAAAGAAATGAAGGGTCTGTAATTTTTATGGTAGGTTTATTTTACTGGATAGAGACAGAATACCAACCAAAAAATCCAGAAAAAAACACATTATGTAAAGGTTAGAGATTGATTTGCATTTCAGTGAGTGAAATAAGTAAAAAAAAATTTTTTAAAAAAGGCAACAAAGGAGTGGCTCAAGAAGAAGCACATTAAGGTCATGGACTGACCTAGC